AGGGGAATATATTGGTAAACTTTCTCATAAAGCTATAGCTTGCGCAGAGCTTTATGTATAAGAATATAGTAATTCTTTTTTAGATATATTAAATAAAAAAAAATAAATCAGTATAAGCTGTAAAATGTTTTATATTGTAATTTTTACAATATATTATAGTTTATATAGACTTTCTTTACTCTATTTCCAAAGTTTATATTAAAACACAAACATTGTTTATCTCTTTATATACTAGAAATATACAAACACTGTTTATTTCTATATACTAGATATATACAAACACTGTTTATCTTTTTATATACTATAAATATATAAAAAGTAATGTTGTTTCTTATTTTTTTTTAGGTGATAAAGAAGAAGGATAAGCAGCAAAAGGCATAAAAGCCGATGAGAGAAATAGAGGTATATCATAATTATGCAGTTGTGCATACAACAAATAAAGATTAAGTAAATTAATCCTGAGGTAAAAAAATTTTTTTAATTTTTATAAAAATAATATGCTACTTACACTTTTACTATTAGTACCTTTATTGGGTATATTTGCTATTTCAACGGGTATGTCTTATCAGTTAGATAATATTCTAATAAAAAAAATAGCTTTAACTACATCTATATTTAATCTTTTTATATCATTAATAATATTTATATTGTTTGATTTTAGTAACAATCAATTCCAATTTGTGCAAGAATATCATGAAATAAGCACTTTTGATTTTTATTTAGGTTTAGATGGATTATCCATATATTTCGTTTTATTAACAACTATAATAACTCCTATCGCACTATTAAGTAATTGAAATTCTATACATGAAAATGTTAGATCATATGTGGTAATAATCTTATTATTAGAAACTCTTTTATTAGCCGTTTTTTTAGTGCTAGATATTTTATTATTTTATATTTTCTTTGAAAGTATATTACCACCTTTATTTATATTAATAGGTCTGTTTGGTTCAAGTAATAAAGTACGAGCTAGTTTTTATTTCTTTTTGTATACCTTAATTGGGTCATTGTTTTTATTATTATCGATATTAACTATGTCATCTATAATGGGTACTACTGATTTTGATGCATTATGCAAAACAGATTTTAAACATTCTACACAATTATTTTTATTTTATGGTATATTTATAGCATTTGCCGTAAAAACTCCTACTATATTTTTAAACGCTTGATTATTAAAAGCTCACGTGGAGTCACCTTTAGGTGGTAGTATTATATTAGCTGCCATTGTTTTAAAATTAAGTTTATACGGTATTTTTAGACTTATATTACCCCTATTACCTAAAGCTTCTATAGATTATACATATATAATATACCTTATAGGAGTTATAACTATTATATATGATAGTTTTAGTACTTTAAGAACAATAGACTTAAAAGAACTTATAGCTTATAGTTCTGTATCACACGCAGCTGTATATTTAATAAGTGTATTTAGTAATACAATACAAGGTATAGAAGGTGGTATTGTTTTAGGTTTAGCACACGGGTTTGTTTCAAGTGGTTTATTTATTTGTGCCGGAGGAGTATTATATGATAGATCTGGGACTAGATTAATTAGTTTTTACAGAGGTATAGCACAAATAATGCCTTTATTCTCTGTTTTATTTTTCATTTTATCTTTAGGTAATTGTGGAGTACCTCTAACTTTAAATTTTGTAGGAGAATTTATGTCTTTATATGGTGTATTTGAAAGATTACCTTTATTAGGTATTTTCGCTAGTTCATCTATAATATTTTCTGCCGCATATACTATATATATGTTTAACAGAATAGCTTTTGGGGGTTATTTAAATAGATTTTTTGAAGCTAATATAAGCGATGTAAACAAACGTGAATTTTTTATATTACTAACATTAGTAATATTTACTGTAATTTTAGGTATATACCCTGCTCCTATATTAGACGGTTTACATTACTCAGTTTCAGCATTAATATATAATAACTTAATCTAATTATAATTTAATAAATTTAATTTAACTATAATTAAATAAATTTAATATAACTATAATTTAATAAATTTAATTTAACTATAATTTTATAAATTTAATTTTTTCTTTTTTTTTTTCTTTCCTTTACAAGAAAACATAAACAGTAAAACATAAACAGTAAAACGTAAACAGTAAACTGCAGTTTACTGTTTCTTGCTTGTGTGCTTTGGCTGCCTTTTTATGTTTAAAGCCATAAACAAAGCCATAAACAAAGTCATATACAAACAAAGTTATAAAACAAAGCACTTTTTATGTAATTCGTCTTATAACTAAGTCTAGGTTCGGTAAAATGTTTGTTTGATATATAAAAATATACTTTTTACATTTTTTACTTTATTACTACTTTATTGCGTATAGTTTTTATAATTTTGATTACTTTTCAAAGTAGACTTTTACATATTTTACTTGATTACATTAAAATGTAGACTTTTACATGATTTACTACATTACTTATAGTAATGGTGTATATATATTACATTATATATATGTCTTAATATATCTGATAATATTATTTATACTGATATAATAAGTATATACACCTAAGATTAACATAAATAGAGTTTGATGATGGCTCTGAATGAACGCTGTCCAAATGCTTGACACATGCTAATCGTACGTTTAATTTAATTAAAATAGTCGGAGGTTTGTTATCTTTATTTTAACATCTTTGTAATATTTTAATTTCATTAGAAGTGGTGTACAGGTGAGTATATAATATTTTGGCTGCCTTAAAGCAAGGTTTATAAATACCTTATATGTTAAACTATCTAAATAAATCTTTATTAATTTTACGATAAAGGTATTATTATACAGTTAGTAAAAAAAGGAAAGCGATTTCCGCTTTAAGAGGAAAATAAATATTCCGGATAAGTAGTAATTAAGGCAATGGCTTAATTAGCTTAATATTCCGTAGTCGAGGCTGAGAGGTCGATCGACCACATTGGGTCTGAAAAAACCCCAATACGTATAGTACAGCAGTGGGGAATATTGGTCAATGGCCTACCGGCTGAACCAGCAATTTGGGAGAATGTATAGTTTCGGCTGATTATACTTGGTAGTTTAATTTGTTATATTTAAGGTTACTTTTATATATATAAGTTATTCGTTTATCTTTTAAGATTAACGGGAGTTAATTGGGATAATTTGTTTGTCTATTCTGCGTGATTAGGTGAATAAGATAAAGGTATATCTTATTTGCACGGACAAGTGTAAAATCGATTTTATCGAATAAAGTTCTGGATAGGATATTGATTATGACAATTTCTTGTTTATATGTCTTGACCAAAATACGTGCCAGCAGTCGCGGTAATACGTAGAAGACTAGTGTTATTCATCTTTAATAGGTTTAAAGGGTACCTAGACGGTATAATTAGTCTTAAATAGGAAACGGTTATGCTAGAGTTATATATGAGGAGGTGAGTATTTATGGTGTAGAGTTGAAATTCTGTCATACCGTAAGGACTGGTAATGGCGAAAGCAACCTTTTATCTAATAACTGACGTTGAGGGACGAAGGCTCGGGTAACAAACAGGATTAGATACCCCAGTAGTCCAAGCAGAAAATTATGAATGCCATAGATTAGATACCTTTTTTTATTTTTATTAGGCTATGACTAAGTAGCAGAACTAAATGTTTTAGCTATACTACACAAAAAAGTTTGGTTTTTATTAAAATAAATTATCGGGTATATATTTAGTCTATAAATGAAAGTGTAAGCATTTCACCTCAAGAGTAATGTGGCAACGCAGGAACTGAAATCATTAGACCGTTTCTGAAACCAGTAGTGCAGTATGTTATTTAATTCGTCAGCACGCGAAAAACCTTACCACAATTTGAATATTATTTTACCTAAGCATTGTTTATAATGTTTGGTTTTATATTACAAGCGTTGCACGGCTGTCTTCAGTTAATGTCGTGAGATATTGGTTAATTCCATTAAATTAACGGAAACCCTTGCTTTATTTGTATTTTAATGTACTAAAGCAGCACACCTTCATAACGGATATGTTAATAGGGACCAAGACAAGTCATCATGGCCTAAATATTGTGGGCTATAGACGTGCCACATGTTCCTATACAAAATGATGCGAAAATGTGAATTTTAGCTAATCTAATAAAGTAGGATATAATAAGGATTGTAGTCTGAAATTCGACTACATGAATAAGGAATTACTAGTAATCGTGTATCACCACGTCACGGTGAATTTAATCTCAGATAGGTACTAACTACTCGTCAAGCGCCGAAAGAAGTGTGTGCAATAAGTTTGGTCTCTGTTTTATTTATTCTAGATAAATAGTTCTAGTTATTTTATGGTAGATCTTCGTATGCGTGACTTTGATTGGTGTTAAGTCGAAATACGGTTCGTGTAGTGGAAATTGCACGGGATTAATTAATATTAACAATATATATATATATATATATCGATAGTTATTTTTATCTATAAGTATTTAACTATATAGGAGGTATATGTATATATAAAAGAAAGTTTCGTATATTGGTAAGACGGATTGAGCTGTAAACTCAGTAGCATTTAGCTAGAGATTTAACAGTAAAATTATAAGAGTTCGATTCTCTTCTTTCTTTTACTAAAAAAGTAACTACTAAAAAGTAACTACTAAAAAGTAACTACTAAAAAGTAACCCTAAAAAGTAACTACTAAAAAGTAACCCTAAAAAGTAACTATTAAAAAAGTAACCCTAAAAAGTAAAGGGGATAGATAAATATTTAGAAGGTAAAATAAATTAACATTGGTTCTAAATAGTTTCTGTCGCTTGTATAAATTATTTAGTCGAGATAAGTATATAACAACATACTATTTTCTAGTAATATTTTTGTGCTTTTTCTTTAATAGTAGGTAGTACTAAGCTTACTAAATTAATTTGTTTTCTTGGTTTTTACTTTCTTAAAAAAAACAAAACTAATTCTTAAAAATAATATACAGGTAAAAGTGTTAAAAGAAGCCATAAACAAACATAAACACAAACACAAACAAACACAAAACCAAAAGGAAACTTCCGTAATTGGTAAGACGGGTTGAGCTGTAAACTCAATAGTAATGTACTTTTAAGAGTTCGAATCTCTTGTTTCCTATAGAGGTACTTATGTTCGACCCTTACGTTT